CTGTATGCCCGTTCCAGTTCTGTGGAGACACAACCAACACTCTCCCCCCTGCCCCCCCCCGTGGGCCAGTGGCCCTGTTCCTCCCGTGCCACCAACCCAGCCTCTCCCCACCCTGTTTCTCCCTCCACCCATGCCCCCTCCTCCTCTTCACGTCTGACTCTCATGTACTGAATTTTTAATGATGTAATTTTTTCCTTGAATTTTGGAAACTCACTATTATCAATTTTACCTTCCGTATTAAGCAATTTGATGTAAATGCATGTTTATGGCATTTGAACATTGTCTTTGCTCCCTGGGTGCTGTAACAAACTACAATGGCATGGTTTCCAAGAGTAGATGTTTATTTCTCACAGTAGAGACTAGCTGTCTGAATTCAGTAAGCGGACTCGAGAGAGCACCTTCCTCTGTGCCAGCTTTGGGGACATTTTTCTTTTCTCTTTTCTCCTTCAGTTACTCATTTCCTTGGCAATCTTCACAATGACTTCAAATGCCCCCATTTCCGTTTGCTAATACATGTGTCTGTGATGTTCCTTACAGGATTCAAAGATGAGCAAGGTGAGAGCACATCCTACAGATATGACCTCAGTAACATAACAAAAACAATCTTATTTCTATAAGTGATTTCATCCAGGCTGCTTTCTTCTAGAGGCTCTATAGGATTGTCATCCCAGCCCTACGGAATTGTGGGGTAGCGTTGGAACTGCTGATGGCGATGTTGTTGACTGAAATGTACCAACTGCTACAAGGGAGAAAATAGAAGTTTTTCCTTCCTTAAATAATTACAGTTTAATGAAAAAAAATTTTTATAAATTATCAAGGGTTCATGAGGGAGGGAAGGGGAGGATGGGGTAATGAGCTGATACCAAGGGCTCAAGTAGAAAGCAAATGTTTTTCAAATGATGATAGCACCACATGTAAATATATGCTTGACACAATGAATGTATGTGTGGATTGTGATAAGAGATGTGAGAGCCCCCAATAAAGTTATTTCTTCTAATACAATTCAATAATCCAATTATATCTAGAAGGATTGTAAAATCATTACCACAATCAATTTTAAAACATTTTCTTCTTCCTTATAGTCTTTGTTATTCGTGTAATTATAAATTTTAATTGTGGCAAAAATATACACAAGACATCATTCTCTAATTCAACAACAACTTTATGAATAATTCACTGCCATTGATTATATTCTTTGTGTTGTATGACCATTATTATCCTTTTTCAAATTATCCCATGACCATTAACATAAACTTGATGCCCTCAGAGTAAAAGCTCTCCTTCACCCACAGTAACACAGGATAATTTTGATTTTTTTTTTCCAAAGTATTTTCTTGATATAATATTTGGGTATTATATTCTTCCATAATTACATCGCTTTTTAAAAGAGTTGTATATGTATCATCAGTCAGGTCTAATGTTCCCTCACCCCTCCTGTGCTCAATATTTGCTCCTCATATCCATTCACCCTCCCCACACCACAGCCCCCCATGATCAACCGTTGCATCAGTTCTTGTCTCTGTGAAAGCACAACAGTTTGCATCACAGATAAAAATGAAATGAAGAGGAAGAAAGAAGAGACCACCAAAAATATTTAAAGAGCCAGAGACGAAATTTCTATCATGGAGCAAGTTAGAAATATTTGAGCTTAGAGCAAATTCAGGTTGGGTCAAAGGCAGATCAAATGACCCAGTATCGTGTTATACCCTGGTTTGATCCACCAAAATTGAGGGTACAGCCATCTCTGTCTGACAATAAAGCAGACAGTAGAGCGAGTCCCTGGCTTGTGGCTTGCCGGAGGTTTCATCTGATTAGAGTCTGCAGACGGATTTGGGGCTCCCAGTGTCCTCCATAGCGTTCTACAAATTGGGTGTTCACAGTTTCAGCTCTGATACTTTTCCCTCCATCATATTTGGCTTTTTTTCTTGTCATCTTTGGATCACACCATATGGACTTAGTTGTTTCCTCACTTAGATGATTCTTTGTTTGAATACTCCCCTATGTCATGGGCCCCAGTGCACACATGCACCTTGGCTCCTCCTTCCCTCTGCCCCGGTCCATCATTTTTTCCAAGTGCCCATCCTTGTCTCTCAAATTAAAATCTGTCATTCACAGCAAACCTATAGGACATGGTAGAACTGACACACTTAGGGCTTCCAAGGCTTGAATCTTCATAGAAGTAGAAGCCACATCTTTCCCTGGGGAGCAGTGGGTGGTCTTCAATCACCAAGCTTTGGGTCAGTAGTGGGTTCTTAGCCACCAACCCACCAGGACCGTTTCCTTCAGGACTAGGGTGGCTCTGCTGCCCCAGTGTGAAACAAAGCACAATTCCAACTCCCACCACTGACCACAGAGGGCTCTGAGTCAATGACAGCCAGCACAGGGGCCCCTACTGGAAACAGGATTTGTGTGGGTTGTTGACTGAGTTCTTGTCCTCCCAGACCTGAAGCTCTGGGGCAAGGATCTGTGGGCGACTAGAATTCAGAGGTGTAGATGGACCTGAGAATAACTGGAAGAGTGCAGGTGGGATGGAGGGTGCACTGACCCATCACAATGTTGCCTCAATGGGCTATGGCTGGTTACGTTCCAATGATTAGAGTCAAGTTAGCTTTCTGTGTCAGATGGAGAGTGATTGCTTCTGTAGTTTACTCTCTGGAATTTGGCTGCTAAAAACAACTTTGTTTTCTTCTTTCTCAAAGTCATGTTACACCATATGTACTGAATGCTTGTGCCCTATATGCTTCTCAGTAGCAGAGATTTTTTAGAAAGAGTTTTTCAGGCATTTCTTTGGAGGCACCTCTGAGTGTATCTGAACTGCCACTCTTCTGATTTGTGGCTGAACACGTAACCATTTGTACCACCTAGTAACTCCAAGGAAGATGCACTAGAGGTGAATCCATTTGGATATAGATGATTCTATTTTGTCACTTGCCATACTGATAGGAAGTGAAATACTGAATGTTCATTTCCTTTGTTGATCACCAAGTCAGTCCTTCAGACAATGATCAAAAGACCTAAGGTCAGGGCTGAAAAGAGGTCAATAGTGCTCTTGTGCACCACTCAAGGCATCGCCAGCTACTTCTTGGCTTCTGCAAGACCCTGTTCCTTGAGCGGTAGGAGGAATTCTGAAGGGGCCATGTGACTGACTTCCCCCTGGCCTCTCCTGATACTGCAACTCTCAGCTCCTGGCAAGAAACACCATTGCAACCAGGGTGGATGAACCCACAACCTGCACGAGGTGCTTCCTAGAAATTTGCTCTCCATTGTGCCTGATTGGATTCTTGGAGGCATTGGTGGAACAAGTTGCTCAGGCGTGTAACATAATTTTTTTTGGTGGTTCCTGAGAACACACAGAACAAACCACACATGAATTCAGCAGCTTCTCTGCATACAAGTCAGTGAGCCTGGTGGATGATACACTTTGAGTTAAGAGACCGTCCTAAACCATTTCCCGAGATGATCCTCCCCCATTCACATGAACTCACTGTCCCTCAAGTTTCCTCTCAAAAAATCCCCAGAGCTGCTCCTCTGAGTTTGATTCTACAGAGATTCTTCAAAGAGCTCCGAGCTCAGGGCAACATGCTTGTCTAATTGACCTGAACTGTTGTGAGCTTGTTTTTCAACCATGTTTTTACACAGTGGCCAGGTCTCAGATGTGGAGCCCCAGGGCAAGATGGGGCCCAGGTGTTCTTTCCCTCAGAAGTGACCATTTGGGACTGGACAGAGGGAGTGAGAGAAAGGGCAGGATACAGCACCTGGGGTCACAGTGGCACTGAGGGCAGATGAACATATATCTGGAGCTCTTTGCATCCAGCACTGCCCTCCTGCTGAGCAACTGCCAGTCTTGTGTCCTTGGCTGAGGGAGAGAGCAATCTCATCAGTGTCCTGCACTGCTACAGCTTTTCCCTGCAGAAGGCTGCCTTGTCCGGTCTCCACTTCTTCTCCCCGTTCACCAGGGACTCAGGGCTCTGCCTCAGGCTGGTGAGTTGTGGCTGGGATGCTCTCTCTGCTCTTTCTGCTTCTGTTCTGCCAGCTTCCTCCTCAGGAACCCACCATGAGCTTGAAGGACTGCATCAACTACATACAGCCCAGTGTCTACAGGGATGGGGATCTGGTGCTCAGGGGCTTTTTCCCTCTCTACACGCTGAAACACGACTCAGAAGCACAGTGGACATTTTTTGTGACCAGTCCAAGACAAAATGTGACATTTTACCTGTAAGTCTGTGTGTCTGTGTGTGAATGGACAACATGAAAGCTAAATTCAGATTCTCCCCGAGTTTTGATTCATAAGTTTTCTCTTTTCTTGCATGGGTGACTTTGAGTCTGCTCTGGCTTCGGTGGCCTTTTATGCTGCAGAATGAAATGTGGGGGGACCTGCACCACAGTCGTGGTCCTGGGTAGGTTTCTGCCCTTTGTTGCAGCCACTGTCTCTACCTGTCTCCCAGAAGATGGCCCTCATTTTCATTTAGGACCCACTTCACCAAACCTGATGTTCTCTTTCTACTCTAGTCACCATCTTGAATCTTTCCCCCCTTTTCTTTTTTTGTGTATTTCCCTTCAGTGTAGAAATCATGATCCCCCGTACAAACCCAAACTTGTCGCTGTTGAAACAATTCTGACTTCTGGAAGCCCGTGTGTTACAGAGTAGAATCAATTCCTTGGTTGCATTTCCCACAGAAGCACATCACCAGGCATTCCTGCCCTGGCACTGCTTGATCTATTTGAACCTCACCCTCTGCTTAGTCATCAAACACAGACCCTCTGTGTCACTCGGGGACTTAACGTTCTACACCAATGACCCATATAACTTGTCCTATTTCTGACTTGCGATGTGGGAGGTGTTAGACTCTCTCCATTTCCAAATATTAAAATCTGGGCTGGAGTTAGTGCTAAAGGAAAATCATTAAAATACAGATTTCAAATTAGGGGGGAGCCATCAAGGTACCCTCTCTCTGGGAGATCACTGTGCCTGTCTCATCAGCAAGGTCTTCAAATCTGTTATAGAGCTGTCAGAAAGAATCACAGGACAAGGAATGAAGCACACTGTTTGGCAAGTTTCTCTGTGTATTTCAGACTGCTTTTCTCCACAAGGCCAGGGACAGATTCCCTGACAAGGAAGACAAGCCTAGGCTTCCTGATGCTTACTTACTGATCTGTAGTGTAGAAATTCACGCCAGTTTCCCTGCATACGAAAATGCATGAGTAAGTGTGCACTATAGATTAGGAAGGAAACATAAGGCAGCCTGTGTTTCCTTGCTTCCTGGGCAATGTGTCCCCGTCAGAGACTGTAAACTGAAGAGACTTTGAATCTGTACAAAGATTCTGTGGGGTTGGGAAGAAACCAGATTGCAGGTAAATGCAGAAGCAGCATCTTGAATATGGTGAAAACACCTGAAGTACTTCCTTGCTTATTGGACAATCGAGACTGCCTAAGACTACATGGTTTTGCCTTTTGGTGCAATTTCTCTGCTTCTAATGTCTGGCCCCTAAGAATGGGAAGCAAACTGTATCAGAAATGTATGTGGCAAAAATTCTGAGGATACGTTCTGGAGCCTTGGTGGGGGTGGGGGTGAACCCCACACACTATTGCCTTGAGATAATCTTTACTTTACATCTTAAACCCAAACTGTCCTCTCAAGTCATCACTGAACATAAAATAAGAAAAAAGAAAAGGTTAATCTTTATAAGTTAAGTTTGTCTGCCTTGATCAACGGGGTCTTGTAAAGAACTATGTATGTGAAATAACATTGGCAACGGCAACTGGAAATGCTGGTTGAGAAGCTTAGGGGGCACCTAGTTTAAGTCAAGAATGGGGGAACAAGCTGAAGGTCAAACACAGTGCTTGTACAAGGGGGAGAACATCATCAGAATCAAAGCGTTGTTCATGTAGAGCTTGTTGAAATGCTGTCTGACTGTGGACATGGTCACCAAAGAAATTCTGATGATTCCTTTGTGTCCTGAAGCTGTTCTTCCTCCAAGCTTTCTCTGTTGGCCTCCCTGTCCTGCCTGGGTGCATTGTGTGGATCACAAACATTCGCTTTATCGAGTTCTTTACTTCCCATGTTCCTAAAGCACTGTTAGCTGGGTCAACTCCAAATATCAGCGTTTGACATGGAAACACAAATACAAGTGAAAGACTTCCTTTGTAAGCCCTTCTTCCCAATAAACTCGTGTGTTTTTAATATTAACTCATTTTAGGAAATCATTCTCTTTTCTCCCCATCTGGGATTTTAGGTCTGAACCTGCTGATGCTTTAGGAACAGCATGCACAAAAGCTGAGTTCCCAAACGTATAAACATAACATTTTCTGTGCACGAACATCTCAGTCCAAACGTCTCAATATCTCCTCTTAGTTTGGGACAAAAATGCCTTGTAGATATTGCAGATTCTGTATCAAAACACCTCAATACAGCGAGTCACAAGATTGATTTTTCCCTGTATTTCCCAGTGTAGAACCAATGTGTGTTGACGCTACTAAGAATGCGATGTCAACAGGAAAAGGTTAGACTGCAGTGAGACTTAAAACAACGTAGTACAGAGACACGCAGGGAGCACACACTTTTGGAAACTCTTCTTGTCGGACCTGGTCAATGCAGACTTGCCACAAAGCTTCAATTTTGAAAAAACACAGAACATCTGTGTAGCATAATAAATAGAAGCCTCTGTGAGAGTTGAAGTATATCCCTTTTATTTCTGAAGTGCTTTTTTTTTTACATTCTCCAGGCTGGACTTCGAAAATTATGGTTATGTTCTGATATTCCTTTTTGCCATTGAAGAGATTAACAGGAGTCCCCTCATACTCCCCAACATATCCCTGGGTTTCCAGCTCTACAATGCCTTTCCTAGTGTTTTCAGAACTCTGGAGAGTGTCCTTGGATGGCTGTCAGAAATGGAGCCCCCCATCCCTAACTACACCTGTGGGACACACACCAAGAACATGGCAGTCATTGCAGGAATCCCCTCTGACTTCTTGGAGCAAGCTGGGGCACTGCTGGAGCTCTACAGGACGCCACAGGTACGGGTGCTGGGGGTGTGGACCTTTCCTTCCTCAGTTTGGTTCTCCCACCACTTAAGTGGAAGAGAAGAGGGACATAGGTACTGCCCATTGGTTCTCAATGAGTTGGAATACTTATTCTGAGTTCAAAACTGGGACAGGAACAAATCTGCCAGACTGCTGTTGCTTCTGGACCAAGCCAAAGTACCTTCTAGAAATTCTGTTGCTCAGATCCGCTCAGACCTGCAAACTAGCTGTCTGGAATCGGCCGAATGGCATAAACACGGGAATGGAATCATTAATTCCATGATCTCTTCATTAAGTTATTTTTTTCATGAAGTTTTCAAAACTCCTTCATATTTATTTCATCTTCCACTTAAAGTAGTTATATCTAACCATATGCTAGGCATACAGGCATTGTCCTAGTTTCTTAGTGCTGTGGTAACAAATACCGCAAAGGGATGGTTTTTAAAAATAGATTTTATTTCTCACACTAGAGGCTAGAATCTGAACTCAGGGCCCTGAATCTAGATGGAGTCTATTGTTCTGTCAATTCTGGGGGGGTAATACTTGTTTCTCTTCAGATTTTGTTCCTCGATGCCTTCGCTAACACCACATGGGGTCATTTCCCCACATTTGTATTAGCACATCTGTGTCTATTCTGGTCTTTAGATCACTGAGTAGTGACAGGCTTAGGACGAGACCTACAGATTTGGGCTAATTAACATAACAAACAACCTGATTTCTAAAACGGATTGGGTCCACAGATACATGTGTGAGGGCACCCACACATATTATGAGAGAATACAATTTTATCCTTAGTACATTTTAAAATGCTTTTCATATACTAACACACTTAGGATAATAAGGAATGACAAGGTACGATGATTACATTAGCTATTAGAAATGTGCAAACTATAATGCACAGTAGTTATCTAACTTGTCTGAGGTCATTCAGCTACACACAATAGAGTCAGAATCTGAGCCCCCCAGTACGTCTAATTCTGAATGTTGCTTCACACCCACAGGGTTCTCTTCAGCAGTGTAAGGGTGGCTACAGGAGCCCTGTGCATGCAGCTGCTAAGGGCTAAGCTGCTAACTGAGAGGGCAGCAGTTTCACCTCACTAGCTGCTCCCTGGGAGAAAGACATTGTCGTCTGTTCCCGTAAAGATCCAGCCTAGAAAACCCTGCGGGGCAGTCCTGCTCTGTGTTACTCTGAGTCTAAATTCACCCCCCCCCCACTCACACACCACCTGTGGAGTCCCTGACACTCTGCTTCCAGTGGTCACAGTGATGAAAAGTCAGTGGAGCGCAGCTCTGCTTTGTACACATGGAATCACTAAGAGTCAGCACCATGTTGAACTACAGTTCTGGTTTTAACTTTGCTTCTGAGAACTCACATGGACTATTTCTCTTTTTGATTCAGATCTCCTATGGCACTTTTGATCCTCTGTTGAAAACTAAGGACCAGTTTTCCTCTCTCTATCAAATTTCCCTCAATCACAGTTGTCTGACCTCAGGCATCGTCTCCTTATTGATCCATTTTGGATGGACGTGGGTTGGTATCTTAGTGCCAGATGACACAAAAGGCGAACAGTTCATTTGGGACCTTAGAAGAGATGGCCATCAAAGGTGTCTGTGGGGCACTCATAGAAAAAGTTCCCATGACCAAGATGATACACAGCCCAAGAGATGTGACCTACCTCCCCAGAGTCATGAAATCATCTGCAAATGCATTCATCATTTATGGTGATTTCAGTACATTAATAACTATGAGATTTATCAATGACTATAATTTAATAACACACAAGATATGGATCATTACATCCCAGTGGAATTTTTCTTTGTTACCACCTTCATATTTATTTGATATTTTCCATGGATCTTTTTTCTTTTCACACCAGCACTCTGAGATACCTGGTTTCAAACACTTTCTCAGGACAGTGACTCCTTCCAAGTACCCAGAAGACTTTTTCCTGACCAAATATTGGCTCTACGCTTTTCATTGCTCACTTGCAGGAACTGTATGTGGGGAAATTTCTGTGTGCCCACCCAATGCCTCCTTGAAGTCAGCGCCTGTGGAAAAAAATTGACATGACCATTATGAAATCCACCAATGATCTCTATAATGCCGTCCACCTGGTGGCCCGTGCCCTCCATGACATGATTGTAATGGGAGAGGAAGCGAGGTGCCTGAAGGAAAGAGACCTCCCTGTGCTTCTCCCTTGGCAGGTAAACTTTGCTTCCAAGTGATTCATATAAAAGACTTGTTAGAATCGGAGAGTTATTTTATTGTGTTAAAATTTTATGTTTATACCTTGGTAGCATAGTGGCTCCCATTGGGCTGTGATCCACATGGTCAGCAGTTTGAAACCACCAACAGGATAAAGACTGAGCATTCTCCTTTACAGTCTGGGGAACCGATAGGGGCAGGAGGTGTCATTATCATTTAGCATTGACAGGACAGCTGTAAATTTGTTTGGGTTATCTAAATTAGTCTACAAGATTAAGGGATAATTAATATTTTTAAAATTCAAAATATGCAAAGGATGTATAGAAAATAAAACACTGGTGGTTCAAACCCACTAGCCACTCCATAGAAGGAATGCAAGGATATAGGTTCTTAGAAAGATTTATAATCTCAGAAACCCTATATAGGATTTCTGTGAATCTGAAAAGGAACCCTCAGTCATAATGGGTTATGTGTTGCCCTGCTAACCACAAGGTAAGCAGTAGAAGCTGCTAGTTTCTCTGATCGAGAAACGTGAGCTTTAGACTTCTATAACAAGTTATAGCCTCAAAATTTCATAGAGGCAATTCTATGCTGTGTCAGGGTCATTATTCAGAGAGTTTTCAGAGCGTGAACTTGAATCAACTGACTGGCACTGGTTTCTTTGTGTGTGTGTGTGTGTGTGTGTGTGTGTGTGTGTGTAGGGGGGGTCGAGGAAGCCTACTAATATAATAATCCACATATAGATGAATGGAATGGTGGTCAATGAATACGATAATGCATACATCACAAACTCACTACCATTGATTCAAAGCTGACTCAAGCGACACTCTGTTTTTATGATACTGTAACTCTTTATAGAAGTAGAAAGCCCAGTCTTTTTCCTTGGAGCTGCTGGTGGTTTTGAACTGTCAACCATGCGGATCACAGCCCAATGTTTCACCATTACACCACCAGGCTCCATAATAGACATGTAGACCAACGGAATTAAAACTCCAGAAAGAAATCTACGGTCAACTGATTTTTTGAAAAGGAATCTTTCTTTGTCTTTCCTGTATTTTATAAATCTCTTCAGGAGCCTTAGAAAACCAATGATTAGGGTTGATGATCTGGATTCCTAATAGATTCACCAGAAGTGAATTTTTCTGACAAGGTAAATAAATTACTCCGCAAAGGTAGCACAAATTATTTGATTTCCTCTAGACTATTAGCCTATATGTTGCTTATTCCAACTTATTCAGTCTCACCATGTGAAAGAACAACAACAAAAAAACCAAAATAGTCTGGCATTTATGAACAGGAAACCAGATGTAGCAGTTCAACTCCCTGACACAGTGTTTCTCAACCTTCCTAATGCCGTGACCCTTAAATACGGTTCCTCATGTTGTGGTGACTCTCTATGTAGGTGTTTATGCATGTGGGCGGACCCTCCTGGAGATGGAGAGAGGAGCGGTGTCTCAGTTCCTAAAATCACTAGAAATATGGTGTTAGGCGACACATGTGAAAGGGTCGTTCAACCACGAAAGGGGTTACGACCCCCAGGTTGAGAACCACTGCTCTAACACATACTGTTGTCATGAGTCAGAATGGCTTAATGGTGACAGGTTTGAGTTTTTATTTATCTGTAGTAGGGTAAAGTACGCTTTCCTTGAACTTGCAGAATAATCCATGAACATCCTGAAATGATACCTATTCAGAAAGGTACATAGACACAGACACAAGAAAAACCTGTACAACTGCTTGGCAACTACACACATTAGTTCACCCCTGAGTTTTCTCTCTGTAATGACCAAGTTCATCTCCTTTCCTCATTATGTCTCTTCTTTAGCTCCACCCATTCATAATGAACGCTCGGCTGGAAAACAGTGCTGGGGAGCATGTCTCCCTGAATGAGAACCGAAACTGTGTGTCACGATATGAGATTCTGAACCTTCTGCATTTTCCTGGTGGTCTTGGCCTTCCCGTGAAAGTCGGAGAGTTCATCCCCCAGGATCCACGTGGACAAGGTTTGATGATCCAGGAGGAGTTGATAAAATGGGCTTTCGGATTCACAGAGGTTTGGATGGATTCTTCATTTATATCCCAAAGCAGAAACAAGACATGAGAATAATTCTGTAACCACTTAATTCATTACAAAATCTGAATTGATTAATAGAATCTAATTTTCCTTGTCTACTGTCCAAGGGATTACAGAGGACACTTTAAATCAAGGTAACTCCAGGTGTTTTAGTGTAGAATTTCTCCATGGCCTTTCTAGGCTGTAATGTTAGCAGAAGAAGTTTGGTCAAACTTTCTTCTTTGTTATCAGTGACTGTGTTTGGATTGAGTGCACGGTGTCGCCATTTGTCAGAAAAAGCAATAAAAATATTTGGTATATTTCTAGATTTTATATATTAGATTTATATCTAGATTTTAAATATAAAAATCTCGGTTTTATGTATGCAAATAGATTTTATATTTATACATATAAAATCTAGAAATATTTTATATATCATACCAACACAGTGAGACTTATGGTCCAGCACTATGAACTACAATTTTAAAAGAGCTCAAGTAGAAAGAGATGTTTTGAAAATGGTGATGGCAACATATGTGTAAGTTTGCTAAATATAATTGATTTATGGATTGTTTTAACATCTGTAAGAGCCCCCAATAAAATTACTTCATATAAAATAATAAAATAAATATTCAATTTACTTATTGCTCATATGTTGAGAGAGTATTCATTGCTTTTGGTTGGAAGTTTATTGTTTGACAGCCATGACCACCAATCCCGATGATTAAAAATATATACTCAAACTGAGCGCATTGCTGTCCACTCAACGTTGGGTCATGTCCATTCTACTGAATCCCATAGATTTTCCTTGGCTGTAATCTTTACGGAAGTAGGTCTACTGCTTTCTCTGGTGACTCTAGGTGGCTTCAGACATTCTGCCTTTCAGATCGTAGTTGACTGAAAAGACTTTCTGTCACCCATGGCCCTGTGGTTGACAGGTACCATTGAATTCATTCGAACACACAACAGCTCCGTGGACAATAGAAAGAGACCCTGCTCAGTCCTGCTTCCTCCTCGCAATTGTTTCTGTGCTTAAGCCCATTGTTGTAGGGCCTCGCCTCACGTGGACCTAACTAGCGCAGAATATATTCTGGTGACCTCTACTCATGAGGTCATGCACACACAAATGAAATCACCTTTCCTCGTTGCCTTTTTTTCTCAGAAAAATGAATTTATTCTATCTAACTTGCATCCAAAGGAGGGATCATGATTTTGTTTTGACCTCATTGTGCATACCTACCAGGATGAAATTTTGTAGGGTCTCTCAAAAATAAGTTTTTTATATATTATATTGCTGGTGGTGCAACAGTTAACTCCTTGGCTGCTAACTGAAAGGGTGGTGATTAGAACCTACATTGGCTCCAACAGAGGAAGCCTTGCTGATCTGTTTCCTTAAAGATTACAGACTTGGATCCCAATGGGGCTGTTCCACCGTGTATTATAGGAGTAGTGTCATCATGATTCAGGATCATTCCGGGCCTTAGGAGTCAGGATCATGAATGAAAAACAAAACCTTGTTATACACTATGATCACATTCTAAGGTAATATGACTGATGCATACAACAGTACTGGATTATTATCAATGATTTCCTTCTTACAGACTCCTCACTCTGTGTGTAGCAAGAGCTGTGGCCCAGGATTCATGAAAATCACTCAGAAATGGAAGCCCATTTGTTGTTTTGATTGTATTTCATGTCCAGAGGGAGAAATATCTAATCAAACAGGTAGGAACTGAAAAAATGCAACACTAAGTATCTCTCACCTCTTACCAGCCTCCTGGACTCCCTGGGTGGGACAGGAGGTAAGCATTAAATTACATTTTGAATTTTCCCAGAAGGTAGCTCAGAAGAAAGATTCTCCAATCTATGTCCACGAGATCAAAGTTACAGAAAACCACCTGGAGCACAGTTTTGTTCTGCCTTCAAGGGTGCACTATGAGTGGAGTCCACTCAAAGACCACCAACACGGACCATTTTGAAAAGTTGCATAATTCTTCATAAATAGTTAATATTTGGTTTATACAAAGAAATAGAGAGTTGCCAGATAAGGTGAAGATGAAAAATTTAAAAACACAATCCCTTCTACCCAGTTTAGTCTAAGATTTGAAAGATGTTGCTCCTTTCTTTCTTGAAACTCCATTTCACTTTTCTCACCAGATAGTGATACATGTACGGAGTGCCCTCAAAGTCAGTATGCCAACATTGAGAGGAACCGTTGTCTGCCCAAACTTGCGGACTTCCTGGCTTATGAAGATCCCTTGGGGATGGCTCTGGCCTGTGCAGCTCTGGGCTTCTCTGTCATCACTGCAGGGGTCTTGTGGGTCTTTGTGAAGCATCGAGACTCCCCCATAGTCAAGGCCAACAACCGGGCCCTCAGCTATGTCCTGCTCCTCTCCCTCCTCCTCTGCTTCCTCTGCTCCTTACTCTTCATTGGCCGTCCCAACACAGCCACCTGCATCCTCCGGCAAATCACCTTTGGAGTTGTGTTCACTGTGGCCGTTTCCACTGTTTTGGCCAAAACCCTGACTGTGAGCCTGGCATTCAAGGCCTTGACACCCGGAAGAACCATGAGGCGGTTGCTGCTGTCTGGGGCTTCTAATGCTGTGGTTCCCATCTGCTCCTTGATCCAACTGATTACCTGTGGAGTCTGGCTGGGAACCTCTCCCCCTTTTGTGGACACAGACACACACTCAGAGCCCAGAAACATCATCATTGTGTGCAACAAGGGTTCAGCCACTGCTTTCTACTGTGTCCTGGGATTCCTGGGCTTCTTGGCACTGGGAACATTTTTCTTGGCTTACCAGGCCAGGAAACTGCCTGACACCTTCAATGAGGCCAAGTTCCTGACCTTCAGCATGGTGGTGTTCTGCAGTGTCTGGGTGACCTTCCTCCTGTCTACCACAGCACCCAGGGGAAGCTCATGGTGGCTGTGGAGGTCTTCTCCATCTTAGCCTGCAGTGTGGGGCTTCTAGGATGCAGCTTTGCCCCAAAGTGCTATGTCATCTTCCTACATCCGGATAGGAACACCTCAAAAGGGTTAAGAAATAAAACATGCTTTCAGGAAAAGTGATCAAAATCTTACTTGTTTGTTTTTTGGTCTGTGTATTGGTTCTTATTCATAGTGACCCTTAGTATAACAGAACAGAACAGAACACTGCTCTGTCCTGCACCAGCCTCACCACTGTTGCAGTCAATGAGTTCATCTCATTCGAGATTTCCCTGTATTTGGCAGATTTTTTGCTTCACAAAGCCTGTAGTCCTTCTCTAGAGATTTTTACAAATTAATTACTCATGTTTTGTTTTTTAAAATATCACAGTGCATGTCTTTACACAGCCCAGCTCAAGAAATGAAATCAACAAGAATATCCTTTAGCCCTCCATATATTTGCTTCTTTCTCCCTCACTGCCCCTCCTTCTCCCTTCTTCCTCGGTATCCTATCCCTCCCCTCCCCGCTCTTGTCCCTTTCCCTGACCACCTCATAGTCATCAGAGCCTTGTCTTTTTGTGTGTAAGCCACATTTCTTTGTTTTTCCCTATAAAATGGTGTTGTTACATATTTACCTGTTGAAGATTGGCCAAGTTTGCTTAGCATAATGTTGTTTAGCTTTGTGCATGTCTTGCAGCATATAAGAGTGTTTTCTGTTTCTTTCTTTCTTTCTTTCTTTCTTTCTTTCTTTCTTTCTTTCTTTCTTTCTTTTTTAAGCATAAGATTTCATTGACTGTACATAGCAGACTGTGTGTGTCCATTCCTCTATAGCAGGAGTTTTGGGTTGTTTTGATGCTTTTGTCATTATGGAAATTGCTGCAATAAACTTAGTTGTGCATATGCCTGTTCATGTTGTATTCTTTATTCTTTATTGCTCTACCCAGTAGAGAAATTGCTACATCATAAGATATTTGTATGTGCATTTCGTTAAAGAAGGGCCATAGTGATTTCTATAGTGGTGGTACAATTCTACAGTACTACCAGCAATGTGGAAGCATGGGGTTGGTTGCTTTATGGTTGATTTCTAATTTTATGGCATTGTGATCTGACAAGATGATTTTGTTTTATATCAATATTTTTCAATTTACTTGTTCTTTTTAAAAAATACTTTAATTGGGGGATCTTACACAAGCCGTATATTCTTCCAGTGTGTCAAGCACATTTACACATATGCCATCATCATCATTTTCAAAGCCTTCTCTTCCCACTTGAGCCCCTGATATCAGCGCCCCATTTCTTTCACCTCCCTTCCTCCCCCGCTCGCCCTTCCTCACATCCCTGTGATAAGGTATAGATTTTTTTTCCATATCTTACATCATCCTCCATCACCCCTAAACCACTTTTCCTTTATTCATCCCCCTGGGAGGGAGTTCTAGGTTGATCCTTGTGATGGATTCCCCCTTTCCCCCCCACCCCCACCCCTAACCCTCCTGGTATCTCTACTCTCCTTGTTGGTCCTGAGGGGTTTATCTATGCTGGATTCCCTATGTTGTGGGCTCTCATCTGGAGCAGTGTGCATGCTTTACTCTAATCCAATTTGTAAGATGGAATTGAGGTCATGATAGTGGGGGGAAGGATACACCAAAGAGCTAGAGGAAAGCTGTGTGTTTCATCGGTGCTGTACCGCACCCTGACTGGCCCATCTCTTCCCTGTGAGCCCTCTGTGAGGGGATATCCAATTGTCTACAGATGGGCATTGGGTCTCCAATTTACTGATTCTTGTTTCATGATTTAAATATGATCTGTTGTAAATAGCTATCATGGATGCTAGAGAAGAAAGTGAAAGGAAATTTTGTTGCTTGAGCTGTTCAATATGTATCTATGTGATTCAGATAATTATTTAATTTATTTCATTTCTCTTTGCCTTTGTTGGTTTCCTTTCCAGTTGATCAATCTTTAGTTGAAAGTGATATATTGGAGACTCCAAGTATTAGTTAGTTTGATCTGTTTGTCTCTTCATTTCTGTAAGAATTGGATTAACATGTGTTGATGCTCTTTCACTTGGTGCATTCTTATTAATTGAGGGTATGGTTTCTTGATCAGTTAAAGCTTTCCTAATTATATAGACTGTGGGGGTTCCATAATTTGGTGTCAACTTGAGACCATTAAGAGTGAAAGGGTGGTGGTTAGCCTGTCAATCAGGTCGCAGCTTGAGGAGTTCATTTGGAGGAGCTACTGAGATAAATAGCTCACTGGAGGCCAGACCCAAACTCCCTCTGCTTTGTCTCCTTGCCTGCTTCAATAAAATCTTTCTGAACTTCACATTCCTGACTAAATTCTATCTCTGTCCTGTGACTCAGTCTCCAACCTTTCATTTACCACAACTGATTCTGGCTTTATTTGAATCGGAATGTTTTTTTTATTTTTTTTTATTTTCCAGAGAAGTGTTCACTCTTTGATTAGCAAGTTCTCAGTCATTTTGACTTATTAGCAGTCTTTTACTGAATTCAGTTGTTAAAATCTTACTTTCTATGGGGTAATATTATTGCTATCATAAATCCAAAATAAATCAGCAGATAGCTTGGTCCAGTTCTTCCATGACCATCCAACTCCCAACTATCAGGAGTTCTAAGTCTATTATCATAGGCCCAGTGTTCACAGCATCAATGAGCACTCAAATATCTCAAATCAAGGAACAATGCCTCTGATTTGGCTTAGAGAACCTACTCCTAGGAAATTTAGTCCATATGCCCTGGCATTCAAAAGCTTCCTCCTACCATGTTTGCTATGAATATAAAATCACAGGACCCCTTTGATCATACCACTGACCACATTCAGTTTGAGTTCTTTTTTATGGAACTTGGGAGAGTTGTTCTTAATTTTGTGTTTCAGTTCTATTTGGGATGTGAAAAACCTTGTTTTGAGAGCCTGGTAATATATTATATTATATTATATTATATTATTATATTATATCTATTTTGTGTGTGTGTTTCTGAAGTAAATAGATGTCAATGAGTGCCAGTTTGCCTCAGTTTAGCCTTAATATTTCAAATTGCTGTACACTAAGTTAATTTCTATACCAATATCTACAGAGTTAACATGTATTGCTAAATAGATAAAACATTGAGTTCAAAAAGAAAAAGCTTTTAAGTGAATATTTACATGAAACACCATTTCCATTGGGTTAGGCTGGGTTCTCTGGAGGAGAGAAACCAGTAATGTGTGTATATATTTGTATAGAGAGAGATTTACATCAAGAAAGGGCATATACAGCTATAAAAATTGTAATTCTAGTCCAGTTCCAGTCAGGGTTATTCTGACTTGTAGGAGATGATGAAAAACAAGCAGAATGATGAAGAAGAAACAATGGGGACATGGGCTGGTGGATGCAGAAGTCAGAAGTTAGCTGAATTAATCCACTGTGGGTAGTCCACTGTTGGAACCTGGGTTAAGCAGGTTATGAAACAGCATATTGAGGAACCCGACCAAAGATCCTGCCCCAGCAGAAGTGAAATGGTCAAAGATTATTCAATTCTACTCAGTCTATCTCATTTATTCAATAAGGCTTATAATACAAAGGAGATATCATCAGGCTGTTGCTACCCCAATGATAGGTTGGATTTTGGCCATACCAGTACTCAAGAGATTCTAATTGATATAATCACTGTCCATCACTCTCATTTACTAAATTCTGGTTAATATCTAAGAAACTTTACTGAGAGGATGAATAAATCAGAAGCTTATCCCAGACTATGAAATTATTATTACTCATAACTCTATGAAAAGTTTAGTCTTAGTTTCTAGATATGTCCCAAAGTAGAGAGATAAGTGCTTGGAGAAGGACATTGTGTTTGGTAAAGTAGAAGGGAAGCAACAGAGAGGCAGGCCCTCTACATGATATATTGATACCATGGCTGCAAAAATGAGTTCAGACACAAAACATTTGTGAGGATGGTGCAGGATTATGCAGTGTTTTGTTCTGTTGTGCATAGAGGCACCATGGGTTGGAACCAACTTGATGATACATAAAAACAATAAGAACATTTTGAACAAATAATCATAGAAACTATATTATTCAAAGAAGAATGAGGTATCAGATTTGGAGGTAGACTTAATAACAACCTACAGTATTTAGATGACATAATCTGGCTTGCTGAAAGTTATAAGAACTTGAAGCACTTACTGATGAAGGTCAAATATTGCAATCTTCAAGATGGATTACAACTCAATGTCAAGAGCACTAATATCCTCACAACTGGATCGATATGTAGCATCATGATAAATGGAGAAATGCTTGGAAATGTCAGGGATTTTGTTTGCTTGGATTCACAATCAATGCTAATGGAAGCAATAGTCAAGATATACCCAAAATGCATTGCATTAAGTAAATCTGCTGCACAGGTGCTCTTAGTGTTGCAAACAAGGATGTTACTTTGAGGGTTAAAGTGTTCCTGACACAAGACATGGTATTTTCAATTCCCTCATATGCATCTGAAAGTTGGGACTGAAAACTAAAGAAAAATCGATGCATTTAAATCGTGGTTCTCTTGAAGAATATTTCAAGTTTCAGAGGGAGCCCAAAGAAAAATAAGTCTGTCTTAGAAGAAATAGGAGAACGTATTCCTTGGAGGAAAAGATGGTGAGACTGTTCTACAGTCTTCGGAGATGTTGTCCAGATAAAAATCAGTCCCAGGAGAAGGACATTATGCTTGCTACAGAAGAAGGCCCTAAATAAGATGGATTTTAAATACAGACTGCAAAGATCTCAAGCATAGGAACAATTGTGAGCAGGGCAGGAATAGGCAGTGTTGTGTTCTATTTCCATAGGGTTGTGATGGGTTGGAACTGGCTCAATGGCACCTAACAACAACAACAACAACAACAACAATGCTACACTTAAGACCAAGTTTCAGTGTCCTCTGACATCTACTTAAATCCTTTCTTTCCTTCCTATCTTTTTAATGATCTTCTGCTTTCTTCATATATGCATTTTTATGTCATTCCACAGCTTATTAGACTTCCTGACATTAATGTTCAATGCATCAAATCTGTTCTTGAAGTGTTCTGGAAATTCACGTGGAATATGCTCAAGGTGGCCTTCTTTTAATATTCCTCAGCTTTAGTCTGAACTTACGTAGGAGCTA